ATATATTTGTTTTGGTTTTTTTTTTTGTTTGTCTTTTGTTTTTGTTTCCTTATCAGACTTCTGCTCACAATTATCATTATCAGATACAGCAGACTTACACTGTTTTTAAAGTATGAATGAAAACATCTGATTTAAATTTTGTGACATTACTAGGAGTGTAAGAATATATCTGTACATTCAAATATCATGATTTTTCATTTCCAGATAATAAAGCACTGTATAGGTTTTTAATTAAGGTTTAAAATTAAAGCTTTCATGCCAGCAGATCATTTTTGTGTTACACTTTAGCCTCCAATCACTAGTTAGCAGCAGTCAGTCAGACATTTGGCTCCTGCATCCCAGAGTAGCCTGAGTGTATAATGCTAACTCAAACTTCTTAGCATTGTGAGTAAACATTAACATTAATACTGATGGCTGAATCTGAGCAGATTAGTCCAACACCCGCTGCATTTAAAACTGAGATGAGGTTGACAACTGTCCTGTATTTTAGGCCAAATTGAAGTGTCTCATACTGGACGCTCTTTCTCTTGACTGCAGTCATCTCGTTACAGCAGGCAGGCATTTTGTCTTGTGCCTCAAGCTGAAACTAACTTCCTCTGAAACATCCTAAACTTTGTGCAGTTTCGACCAAGCGATGCAGACGCTGTGCAGCATCGCCAACCGCCACACTGATGATCTCTTCGAAGTTTTCATGGAGATGAGAGGCCACCTCTATCTGCATGCTGGCACGCTGTTGTTGAAACTGGCTCAYGATCGGCAGCAGACCTGGAGGGCCATCAGTGACCAGGCCACGCTGTGCTACCTGCTGGCATACCAGGTACTTTGAGCATGGTTATCTCTCTGCTCTGCATTGTTGACACAACGCAGGCCYTGTACGCTCAGAACAAGTTTTCATTCTTTCATTTTATTGGCTTGCTTGGAAAAATAAAGTTTAATTAATTTTATTTTATTTTTTCTTTCCACCAGGTCCCCAGACCAAAGTCAAAAGTGACAAAAAGAGAMCTGTCAGCCCCACAGTTTCTGGAGCTTCTGGCAAACGATCGACAGAGTCAGGCTGGACACATGTTGTTCAATCTGAGCTCTGATTCGTCGGCTTTGATCAGAGAGGTACAGRTTGTCACATCAAAAAGAGGTTTTACTGCATTCAGCTTCTCTGTTAAAGCCTAAATAAAATGTTGCAGTATTTTATTAACTGTTAACATCAATTATTTCTGCTTTTATACAACTGTAGAATGAACATGCACAAATTGATTTATTATTTCTATAAAATAAGATTATTTGAGATTAATCATTTTACTTTATGCAGGTGGTGGAGGCATTTGGCAATCGTTGTGGTCAGGAGTCTATGTTTGAACTCCTCTGGGGTCCACAGGCCTCCCCTGGATCCTCCTATATAGCCAACGATGATATTCGTTTCCTTTGTGCTGCARCTCCAGAGCTCTCCAAACTGGCCAGATGGGACACTGGTACAAAACTGATGTATTTCCTAAAGGACTGAATAGCAAAAGTAAAGATTTAWCAACAATAATATTGTTGTTTCATTCTTGATAGGCTCCATCCTGTTGCACAATGGTGAACTCCAACATCTGAGCTGGTTGGGACTGCAGTGGACTCTTCTGGGCCAAAGGCCGCCTATGAGGGACTGGTTGCAGCAGATTTTTCCAAGACTTACCCTGGAGACGTCAAAGCTAGACACCAACACACCAGAGTCGATCTGCCTGCTGGATCTAGAGGTAAACTAAGTTTAGCTTGGTTTGTGTATGGATTTTGGAATATATGAATTGTCCCTTAACATTTTAACACAAGCGTTTTAACTTTATTGATGACATTTTACTGTCTCCTTTTTATAAACGGGGTTTGTTCCATTTTGTTTGCTTTGTTCAGGTGTTTTTATATGGCGTGGTGTTCTGCAGTCACTGTCAGCTCCAGGACACGGCGAAAATCAGCAACGGGATGAGTCCGCAGCAGCAGCTCTTTGAGCCTCGCTGCCTCCCTCTTCCTCTCCTCCGCCTCCTGACCACCGACAGACAGAGGGAGTGGTGGGACGCCATCTACAGCCTCATCCACAAACGAGCCGTGTGAGTCTCGCAAATCATGACCAGATTTATAAATCCTAATATAAATAAAGAARTAATTAAATCCTAATATTCAAATAAGATGGACATTTTATTTGTAGCTGTGCTTTTTAATCCCAGTCAGTGCTGAATGATGTTTGACTCCATGTGGTTATCATGGATTCTATAAAAAAGAGCCTAATTGTTCTAAAGTCTTGAAATTGTGTTTGAAATATGAAGTTTAGCTTTTATGACATCGTTATTTTGTCATGTTTATTTTTATTTTTTTGCTATTAATTTGGACTTTTAATAATTGTAGATTTTTGTGTGTTTTTCACTTCTCTCCTCTTCTAGTCCTGGTACGTCAGCTAAGCTGCGAATGATCGTGCAGCATGGACTGAGCACTCTGAGAGCTGGAGAGAAACACGGCCTACAACCAGCACTGGCCATCCACTGGGCTCGGACTCTCAGCCAAACGGTAAACGCAGTTACAGGATGCATAAACAGAAAATTTGTCAAMTGAATCGTTTTAAAGCCCTGGTTCTGATGACAGATTCTGAAATCATAGTTCTTTTTATTTTAATCATGATCTTTTTAAGAGTTTGTCAAAATATTTTCTCTCTGCAACATCATGACGACAGAGCAGCACATTACTTAGAGAAAAGAAACATAATCTCATTTGCATCTTTATTGAAGATAGACTTTGTTTCGAGACAATTGCTCCTTTAGCTTGTCTACGTCATTTATGAACCTGGCAGTCGTTTACATGCTGACAGGCGGCACAGCCAGCTGAACAGCGTGTAGGGAACCCTGCCAAAAACTGTGCAGACTCTCCTGCCTTCGCACCTGCTACTGTCTGTTACTGTTGCAGCTGCTTAGCAGGTTTAAGTATATAATGTTTAAACACCCACACGGACTGCTTCTTTGGCAGCGTGTCTTTTGTATTTATGATAGGATTAGTAACAACTGAAGAAGTGGTTTGTAAATGGACASCACTTATATATCGCTTTGAGTATCCAACCAGGATAGTTGAAGTGCTTTACACTACAATCTGTGCCCTCATTTACCCTTTCATTCAGCACTCTACTGCAGTATGTCTCTCTACAAAGCTAACCCAGACAGATCAGTGCTTAAATCACATTCATACACTGATGGGACACACATCAGAGGCAGTGGGTTCAGTGTCTTGCCCATGTGAMTSAATAGTKGGGGAATCGAACTACGAATTCTCGYATTGGAGGATGACTCCCCTAACGACTCAGCCACAGCCGCCYCATTTTTGTAAAAAGCTGTAATCATAAGTCTTGCTTTCTTTCTSACATCTGTATGAACATGTTTATTAACAYAGGGAGATGGAATGAACTCGTACTATGACCAGAAGGAGTACATCGGCCGCAGTGTTCACTACTGGAAAGTTGTTTTGCCCATGCTGGAAAAAATTAAAAACAGAAGRAGTATACCGGAGCCCCTTGACCCACTCTTCTTACACTTTCACTCCAAGGATATTCAGGTTAATATAGTTCTCATATTTTAATTTTAAAGCCACATTTGCCTTCTAAAATGCTGATGTGTTGTTGCTTTTCAGATTTCAGATGTAAAAGGTTTGGAAGAAGAAGCTAAAATAGCATATGCAGTACTCCTGGACATCGAAGGCAGAACCGAGGAGGCAATTGCCACTTTGGAAAGCATCAGTAACCTGTCGTCCTCCTGGCATTTAGCACAGGTAAATTATAACCACTTAAAGTCCCCTGTCACCATTCTACTTTAAAAATAATTTTCTGTTTGTTGTTTTTGTAAAGGTTTTCTTAGTCCAGCCTTTTAAGTCATTTTGTTCTTTCTGATAAGGTTTCTTTTGTTTGTTTGTGTTCCATCTGTTTTTACTCTACTATATGTGTAGATATCACTTATCTTAATGTTGTTATGCTCATCAGGATTATCTGTTACATTGTTGTTGTTTTTTTGTCTGTTCTGCATCATTAGATAAAGTCTACAGATTTTTCTTTTACTGCAGAATGATGTTTAATCTGCATCTGGGTTTCAATGACTGGGAAACTGGTTAGCTTTTAATATGTCTGAGTAGTGAATGAGCTCTGTATGGTAATATGATGCTGGCTATGTTGCTTTTCAGTTCAGGATTGTGAGCGATTCTCTCAAAGAATCAGAAACATGATAAAGGATAAGGCAAAAAATCCTGAAGAATATTTATGACTAACTTAAAAGTGCTGTCTGGTTTTTGTCTTGTTCTTTGCAGATTTATCAGCGGCTGGCAGAAGAGGCCAGCAATGGGGTGGAAGAAACCCAAGACAGGTGTGTAACTTTCCTGAGGAAGTTCAGAAGTTATCTGTCGAAGATCTACAACGCCAATGCAGATGATATCGATAAGGTTTGTCTGTTTTTTTTCTGAGTTTTCATTAATGTGTTTGGTTTTTTTACCTCATATTTTACTTTATTCTTTGAACCCTGTAGTATTCATTCTGTCTTTATGTATCCCAGCTTCCTGTGTCCATGGAGGAGGTGGTGGACCTCCTGAATGATGTCAACCAACAGCTGGGTGAGACTGGGGAGGACATGGATGAGGAGGACGAAAAGGAGATGGAGCATCAAAGAGCTTTTGCCCACTCCAGCCCTGCTTATCCCACAGAAACCAGTGCAGCCATTTCCCACATGAAGTTTTCTTCTCCCTCTCCAAACAAAAGCATTGTTTCTCCTTCCAAAAGACTGGTGAGTCCCATATTATGGGATGATATTTAGATTTGTTTGGTTCATTATGTTTTATCTCGGCTCAGTTTGAGTTCTGTTACATTTTTTTCTTCAGATTTCACCAAAGACACCACCTCATTGGGTTGAGGATCAGAAAAGTCTCCTTCAGATGCTTTGTCAGCAGGTTGAAGCACTCAAGGTCAGAATCAGAGATAAGAAATTTGGTTAATTTATTCTGATTTTGTCAGGATTTCAGCTGTTGACGCCCATTCACTCCACAAACTAACACAGAACTATGTTTTGTAGATAATATTATGACAGTTGATGTATTCACAATCACTTTGGAAGGCAATTGTCAAGCTAAGATTACTATTTTCATTGTAAAGTTTGCTAATTTTGATTTTTTTTCTTTCAAATGTACAGCGTTAACAGGACTTTTGAGTTTATTTTGAAGTTGTAGTTTAGTTGGAGAACATGCTTGCTGTCTCCAGTTGTCATAGTTTGTTTTGCTGGCGTCATTGTCGATGAGGATGAGCCTCCAGTCATAAATAAGCTCTGAATAACTGTAGTGTTACAGCATTTACTCATTAAACTCCTGTTTTTCAGAATGAAGTCCACGATCTGAAACACAACTCTTCAGCGAGTGCAGACTCTCCTCATCATAAGTTATATGGGGAAGGCTACAGGGCAGAAAGTATGCAGGATTCTTTTACCCCTGTGCAGTCCTATCACGGAGCCCCCCTAACAGGTCAGTCTTTCAACTAGGTCTAAATCTAAAATATTGTCATGTTTAATTCAGACAGAATATTTACCTGCTTTCTTTCTGAAGTTGCCACCACAGGTTCCTCTCTGTATTACAACCAGTCTCCAGCTTATAACTCTCAATATCTTTTGCACACAGCAGCAAATGTAACGCCAACCAAGGTAATCATTTCTATAAAACAATGTTAGATGAGAAAGTTGCACAGATTGTTAAAGGGTATTTATTTTCCCTTTATTCTTTGTTCTCACAGGGTCCAATGTATGGTGTGAACCGTATGCCACCTCAGCAGCACATGTATTCCTACCAGCCGCCCACTCATACTCCTCCATTGCAGACAGCCCCAGCTTGCATCTACCCTCCGCAGGAGCAGGCGTTTGGTGCCCCTCTTCGATTTGAATCACCAGCCACAAGTCTCCTTTCTCCTTACAGCGAAGAATATTACAGCCAAAGTGTTGCCCAACAAACCACTAACCCTTCTCTGCCTGAACCCGGGTACTTCACCAAGCCGTCTGTAGTCCCTATTCAACCACCAAAGAGTGTTGAGGGCAAGTCTATGGAGTTTGGAAAGCTTTCTTTCAGCCAGCAGCCTCCTAATGAAGTTCCCAGGGTACCGAGTTTTGGTGCAGGACCATCTGCCCAGTCTACACCTTCAACCGCTTTCAAATTCAATTCCAATTTTAAATCCAACGATGGAGATTTTACCTTCTCAGCTTCTCAAGCCAAGCACAGTGAAAGTTTGCTAGGGCTTCTCACATCAGACATTCCCTCCAAAACTGATGTCGTTCTGGAAAAGCCTCCGGCCCAGGAACAGGCCTCCAACCAAAATAGCATCTTCACCTTTGGCAATAAAAGTACCACCAGCTTCTCATTTGCTGATTCCACACAGAACACCGCAAGTCTTTTTGGAAACATTGAGCTGCCTTTTAAATTCGGAGATGTTACCAAGCCGGTATTTGGCCTTGGCAAGACAACAGAACAGGAAAAAACAGCTGTGAGTGACAATGATAGCACACATGGTGACGAAGATGAAGATGGTCCTCACTTTGAACCTATTGTACCTCTTCCTGACAAGGTAGATGTAAAAACAGGCGAGGAAGAAGAGGAGGAAATGTTTTGCAACAGGGCAAAGTTGTATCGATTTGACGCAGAGACAAAAGAGTGGAAAGAAAGAGGCATTGGCAATGTTAAAATCCTTACGCACAACACTAAAGGGAAGGTCCGCCTCTTGATGAGAAGGGAACAAGTCCTTAAGATCTGTGCAAACCACTACATCACTGCTGACATGCTGCTGAAACCAAATGCTGGCTCTGACAAATCCTGGGTGTGGAATGCCATTGATTACGCAGATGAGGAGCCTAAACCTGAACAACTGGCCATTCGCTTTAAAACAGCGGATGAGGCAGCTCTTTTCAAGTCTAAGTTTGAGGAAGCTCAAAGAGTTGTGCTCAAATCAGATGAAAAGCAAATTCAAAAAGAGAAGAAGGAGGAAAGTCCAAAAGAATCCGCATCACTAGCTTCCCAGTTTGCACTCAAGGAAGGAGAATGGGAGTGCCCCATGTGCTTTGTGAGAAATAAACCCATTGATGCGCTGTGTGTGGCATGTCAACATGCCAATCCACAGTCTTCAGCGAAACCAGAAATAAAAGCTGCTGGGGAAACCAAAGCAAGTTCATTCACTTTCAAATTTGGTACAGGTTCATCAAAGCCATCCAGTTCTGGCTCTCCATTTTCTGGATTTGGTGCTTTTGGGTCCTCTATACCGTCCTCATTTACATTTGGCACCAGCTCCACAAAACCTGCAGACACAACATCCAGTGCGTTTACGTTTGGCTTTGGATCACAGTTCAGTAAAAAGCCGGAGCAGTGGGACTGTAACAAGTGTTCGGCAAAAAATGAAGCGTCCGCAGACAGTTGTGTTTCATGTAAGGCTCCTAAAACTGCAATTAAAACATCTGTGATTGCACAAACTACACCTGCTGCAGAKCCACCCGCAGCGCAGCCTTCTGTGTCTGTTGCTGACTCTGGTTTTGCCGCACAGTTTAGTAAGAAACCTGGGCAGTGGGACTGTGATGTATGTGAAGTGAGAAATGAGGCATTTGCTGACAAATGCGTTGCCTGTCAGAGTCGAAATCCTGCAGCTAAATCTACCGACGAGGTTCCTGTACCTTCAAACGTGTCAGCAGTGTCAGGATTTGGGCCTGAGTTTSCAAAGAAAGATGATCAGTGGGATTGCAATGCCTGCCTGGTCAGAAATAAAGCGTCAGCTACCGAATGCGTTTCCTGCCATGCTCAAAACGAAAATCCCTCTCTTGCAGCCATGTTTGCCATGAAGGAAGGAGAATGGGATTGTGACAGTTGTCTTGTAAGAAACAAAGGCTCTGCTGATAAATGTGTGGCCTGTCAGGTTCCAAATCCTAATGCTAAAAGCACAAGCAGCTCTGCTTCCTCAGCCTCTGCCTTCAACTTCTCCTTCGTAACCAAGAGCTCGTCAGACCAACCTTCTGTAACTGCGTTGACGGTGCCTTTTGGAAGTAGCAGCACTTTTCAGTTTGGTCAAAACAAAGACAAAGACAAAAACTCKGATTCTTCTTTCAAGTTTGAAGCTCCCCAGACTGTACCTACAACCACAAGTTCTGCCGGCTTCTCTTTCTCAATGCCCATTCCAGCTGGTGGCTTTAAGTTTGGCATTCAGGACACAGCAAAAGCTTTGGCAAAAGATTCAGCTTCATCCGATGATCAAACACCATCAGGGTCAGCTTCTAGTCTCCTTAAAACCATTGCTGACAAACATAAGGAGAAAGAAAATGTGTCTGCATCTTCGCTGAACCAACAAGAAACCGATGAGAATCCATTAATTGCCGGGAAAGCTAATACATGCAGTTTTGCAGACTTGGCTAAATCCTCTGGAGGGAGCTTCCAGTTTGGCCATCAAGATCCTAATTTCAAAGGTTTCTCCAGGGCTGGGGAGCAGGTGTTCTTGTCACTCCAGTCAACTCCCACCAAGGCAGAAACCTCAAACGATCAGGAAGATGATGGGATGTATAAAACCGAGGATCATGATGATATCCAGTTTGAACCAGTGGTCCAGATGCCTGATAAGGTGGACCTTGTAACGGGTGAGGAAGACGAACAGGTTCTGTACTCTCAGCGCGTCAAACTGTTTAGATTTGATACCACCACCAGTCAGTGGAAAGAACGAGGGGTGGGAACTCTCAAATTCTTAAAAAATAACGCAAATGGTCGCCTTAGGGTACTGATGAGGCGAGATCAAGTTCTGAAGGTCTGTGCCAACCACTGGATCACCACCACCATGAACCTTAAGCCCCTGGCAGGCTCAGACAAAGCATGGATCTGGATGGCCAATGACTTCTCTGATGGAGATGCCAAGCTTGAACAGCTGGCCGCCAAATTTAAAACCACGGAGCTTGCCGAAGAGTTCAAGCAGAAGTTTGAAGAGTGCCAGAGGCTCCTGTTAGACATCCCCCTGCAAACCCCCCACAAGCTGGTAGACACCGGCAGAACAGCACACCTCATTAAGAAAGCAGAGGAAATGAAGTCCGGCTTGAAAGACCTGAAATCATTTTTGACAGATGAGAAAACAAAGATCAAAGATGAAGACGCACAGGAAGATGTCACAGCCTCCGGTGAAGTTCCAAGTCTCGTCGTCAGAGCTCACGGTGACACTCCTGGTCCTACCTTGGAGTGGGACAACTATGACCTAAGAGAAGGAGCTATAGATGATACTGCTGACTCATCTGTTTATGCTTCCCCTATTTCCAGCAGTCCTCTGAGAAAAAACCTTTTCCGCTTCGGGGAATCCACTGGTGGTTTCAGCTTCAGTTTTCAGCCTGGCATCAGCCCTTCCAAGTCTCCTGCAAAGCTCAACCTGAGCAGAGTCTCGGTCGGTACGGATGAGGAGCAGGATACTACTCAGGATGAAGAACGGGATGGTCAGTACTTTGAACCTGTGGTCCCTTTGCCCGATTTGGTTGAGATCTCAACTGGGGAGGAGAACGAGCAGGTGGTCTTCAGCTACAGAGCCAAACTGTATCGCTACGACAAAGATGTGAAACAGTGGAAGGAGAGGGGCATCGGAGACCTGAAGCTCTTACAGAATTTTGACACTAAACGAGTGAGGCTAATCATGAGGCGAGACCAGGTACTGAAGATCTGTGCCAACCACTGGATCACAGCAGTGATGAAGCTGGAACCCATGAAGGGGGCAGAGAAGGCTTGGGTCTGGAGCGCCATGGACTTTGCAGAGGAAGGAGAGGGTAAAATGGAGCAGCTGGCTGTGAGGTTCAAGCTGCAAGAAACCGCCAAAACGTTTAAACAGGTCTTTGAAGACGCCAAGGTGGCGCAAGAGAAAGAGGAACTTATGACTCCTGTGACGATACGAACTGCTGCGCCGCAAGTCAGCAGAACGGCAGCATCCGAAAACACCCCAGCTGCAACTATATGTGGAGAAGCAGCCGTCGCCGTTCTAGAAGAGACGACGAGAGAACGAACAGAGCTGCCTTCTGACACGGAGCCAAGTGCAGCAGGATCTCAGAGCCCAATTAATCCTTCAAAGACCGTGGTGTCTCCCCCCAAGTTTGTCTTTGGCACCGATAGCCTCCAGAAGATCTTTGGGACTCAAACATCTGCATCAAGTTTAAAAACCACAGATGCTGAAAGTTCAGCTAAGCCCACATCTGCTGTTCCTGCATTCAAGATGAACACAGGTAAAAAGTGTTAATAATTATTTTTTATTATTTTAATGAGTTTAAAAACTGTTTTCTTTGGACATTTTATTGTCTGCCTCATTCCATCTCATTGTTTAATGATTTTATTTGGCACTGACTCCTCACCAAATTACCTTTTAAAAAAAATCAGTTTCCATTTCCTCCCCGTGTAGCCAGTTAAATGTGCTGATACATGAGATATATACTTACATTTAACAAAGTAAATAAACTGCATCTTTTAATGAACAAATCAACGATAACTACTTTAAATTCAGTTTAAAAGAATGATACACACATTTTACTTTTGAGCAATAGTGCCACTGTTTTTATTATACCAGCCTCGTAATTAGTTTCTCTTCACCCAAATACCCATCATCCTTTAGGGCTGGATTTTAGGCTTTTCAAAGATAACCCAATGGCTTTTTGGACCAACACATCCACCATCCATTTTGAAACTTCAGGTACTCTAATTACTGCAGTGTGTCTTAACACCGCTCAGCTGTCACCTGGCTGACCCTTACTGCTACTAGAAAAACAATAACCTGGATGCACGGAGTGGGAAAAAAAACACAGAAGCTAATCGTTGCATGTCCAATGTTTTCAAGTTTTGTATTTGTTGTAGCACTTACATAACAAGATTTAAACATCTTGTGCTCAAACAAACCATTAACATAAATGATAGTGAAGATAAAGGTACTTTAGTTATAAATTAGACATATTTTCTTATATCACAGTGGTAGTTTAGCTTAAAGGTCCCATCTCTAGGGCAGAAATTCATTTATTTAAGCACTAATAATAAAACTATAGTTGTACTTCAGCATCAGTTAAAACTGAGCGTTGTCTGAAAAGTGAGCTGAAAGCAGAGGATGTTCCTCCAGAGAAGCACGCGCTGTGCAAACGTCACTCGTGCCATTTTTAGCCCTGGATGTGTAGCAACAGCGTGAAATGTAATTCCCTTCTTGGGAAGACATTTGCCACTGATCTGCACATCAGCAGAGGCTAATTAGGGCTAAATCTCTGGTATTTATGAGGTTTAATGTTGCACCACTGTGTCCAACAAAAAAAATGCCATCTTAAAGCAAGTTGTTCCTCACTGTTGTAAATCACATGCATGCTATTTATTGCAGTGCATGAGATTTATAGTGTTTGTGTGTGAGAGTGTATCTAACACGTAGGGTCATACAGATAACAAATCACTGATTTTTCTTATCTTCTGAGCAGCCACCTCCCAGCTTTGCTCACTGTTGTCTGCTTCCATTGTTTTTCTCCCATCRTAGCCGCTCCTCAGGCAGCAGGAGGCAGCTCGAGGTCACATGAGGACTCTGATGTAGAGATTGTTTACGTCAAAGAGCCCACTGCTGAACAGGCAGCTTTAGCCAGAAAGCTGCAGCTGCCTCTTACCTTCTTCTGCTACAAGAACGAGCCGGGCTACGTCAGCGATGATGAAACAGACGGTGAGAGAACAAAATCAATAAAAACTAAATAAACAATGAATGTAGTTGACTGGAACTGCAGTTGTTTAGCTCCTGACTCGTCCGTGTCACAGTATTCAGTTCTTTTTGACATAATTGTCATCTGTATACACCTAGTGAAAATAAGTATTGTCTTCAAACAGTGGGACAAACATTTTAAATGCATTGCTTGTACAATTATTTGTTTGTTTTACTTTTAGATGAAGACTATGAGTCAGCAGTGAGAGCCTTGAATGGAAAACTGTACCCCGATCCTCCTGAGGCTGCAGCTTGTGCTGAAGGTACGTACAAAAACCCAATATTTCAGTTCCATTCAACACATATGTTTGATTTTTTTGTTTGTTTGTTTTGCTAATGTGCCTGAAAGGACTAGAACTACATTTAAACATATCGCTCCGTTGTGTGCCAGTAATTCTCTCACACTGAACTTGTTCTGCTCTCAGAGCCAGACTGTCAGGTTGTGTGGGAGAAGAAACCAACACCAGAGGAGGAGGAGAAGGCAAAAAGTCTCCAGCTTCCACCCACGTTCTTCTGTGGCCTGAGCACCACGGACAGCGACCCGGACAGCGACAAGCCTGAAGACTTTGAGACCGAAGTCCGTAAAGCACACCAAGACCTGGTAATGAACACGGCTCTCTGAGTCGGTGCTGAGCTCGACTCAGAATCATGAAAACAGAAAATATATAAGTTAACAGGTGGAGTCATTATTTGCAGCTGTTTGTTGGGACTGGTTTTATCTGCTACATACTGTGTGCACCTGAACCATCTGCCTTATGGTTTCTGCAGACTTTATTTCTTTATGGCCTCTTCCAGCAGCCTGTCACACTGGAAGAACAGGTCTTAATAGTTTTAGGGACACAAAATGTTTGAGGTGTTCACTTGATTTGGAAATTATTGCAGATAAGTGGGACATGTTTGCAAATTAAATAATTTGGTGTTTGTGACTGATAGCTTGGYGCCACCTCCTACAACAGGTCCTCAGAGGTCTGGTCCTTCAACAGGTCAGGGTTAGAACTGTTGTAGCAGCATCAAGTCATTTTCCCACATCTGTTCAGCCTTGTTTAGTTTTTGAGGAATAGACTGATTTTACACAGGTAGCACAGTAACATGGGTTTAATTTGTATCAGGTCACCCAGTTAAAAGGAGCCGAGCCGGCCTCTAGCAGTCTCGCAGCCCCCACACAAGACCTGACCTCGGCCCCATCGTCCAGCAGTGCAGAGGCTTCAGGCAGCGGGTCGACATCAGATGAACAAACTTCAGACAAGCCAGCAGACACTCGGAGTGGAACTCCCAGCATTAGTTTCCCAATTGACCTGTCGACCAAGAAGAGTCCAGAACCGAAGTCTAAAACTGGGACAGATGCTGCTGCTGCTGCTGCTCCAGCTTCCACGACGACAACACAAGGTACAAGAGATTTAGGAGCCAGAACTCATGGTCTTTTGGTCACATTTCATCTGCAAAGCTTAGAATAATGTGTAAAAAAAAAATTAGCATTTCAGTGAAAACACTCTATTTCACTTTTCCTTGTTTTTGAGTTGATTTCTTTCTGGATTTGTTTAAAAAACGTTTGAAAACAAAAATCACAAAAAAAAAAGAAAAGAAACTTCTTGCAACTTTTGTCATGATGTGTTTTTTGTTTGAAAAGAGCAAAACACATGAATTGCCAAAGAAGCATCTGCTTTATTAGCATTGATGAACATAATTTTATATTATTGTATTAGAGAATGTGTTCTGGACCATAATGCATCACTTCCAGCTTCTCTATATTATTACTAGGGATGCCCCGATACCAGATTTTTGAAAACAGAGTACGAGTACAAGTACTTACATTAAAGTACTTGCCGATACCAAGTACCGATACAAGTACTAATAAATATCCTTAAAAATCCTTATAATTAACTTAAACTGTTTGTTTATTTATGTTTGAAGTGCCTAATGAAAGTACATTACTAATGGTTTAAAACCATTTTACTGTCATATAACATACTATGACAGCATGTATAAAAATAAATAAATTAACCTAATACACCTAAGAGACTTCCAGTTGATTTATTTTTTATTCCATCTTCATCGTAGATGTAAAAATTTTAATGATCGGCTCAAGTTATCTAAAATGTGTTACAGGGCCCTCACTGAATATTAGAGCATTGTACCATCAACTATATAAATAAACTAAACTAAATAAACTTTGTAGTATGTTAAATTAATTGCAAATAAGTAATAAATGTTTAATTTGTAACATGTTGTTGCTTGGTCATAATGATTTTTCCTCCATCAGATTACTTGGCAAATAAACGCTTATAAAAATAAAAAATATTTTTAGGCAAATCAAGGCTTATATTATTATTTTTAATCATTTTTATTTATTTAATTTACCTTGGATCCAGTACAGKTGAGATGCAGTAGTGGTTTTTTTTCTCAGCATCAGTGAAGCGCCTCTTGACAGCTGCAGCCAAAGTGGATTTCATTGTTTTGATCCTGTGATCTTCACCAGTGTCTTTGTTTAGGAGTCTCAGAAGCACGGTCACAGCAGGGATGACGTCTTACTACTGTCACCTGAAAATACCTCCACACCGCTGACATAACGCCTCCTCTACAAACTRCTTRCTTRTTAAAGTTTGTTCAGCTCGGCTAACGTGGTCGTCGTCTTCTTCTTTTATTTTTTTATGCGGCTGGCATTAAGTCTGTTGCGCGATTCCGCCGCCTGCTGGTTTAGAGTGTCTATGCACAAACTGAACGAAATGAAGCTGGTATCGGTCCTGTAGTATCGGAGCACTTTTACAAGTACGAGTACGAGTTAAAGCACATGGTATCGGACCGATACCCGATACTGGTATCGGTATCGGTGCATCCCTAATTATTACTAACTTTTATTAATTTTTTTTCCCACATTTAAACTGAGCTCATGTTGCTATTAAAGCACAATTTCTGCTGCATACAAACATGAAAGGCAGAAAACTATTCATTCAGTGTTTAATGTTTTTATTTTTGTTGCTGCAGATTTTGGTTTCAGTTCTCTTGGAGGATTTTCTTTTGCTGACTTGGCGAAAAACACAGAAGGTTTTGCATTTGGATCTCAAGGTTGGTTTTAGCATCACATATCTATCTTTTTTTATTGTTAATAAAAGTTAAAGAGATTGTATGCTCTGATTTTTCTTGTGCAGATGATAATTTCTCATGGGCAAATGCTGGTGCGATGGTTTTTGGGGCTTCTGCACCCGCTGAGGCTAAAAACGATGCTGACGAGGAGGGAAGTGATGAAGAGGAAGCTCCTAAAAATGTGGACATTCACTTTGAGCCTATTGTGTCTTTACCAGAGGTACGTCCTTTCTTTTTAAAACTAAATTATTGATTGATAAAAGGACAGCACATCATTGATGATTGTTGCACGCCTCCCAGGTGGAGACCAAGTCTGGAGAGGAGGATGAAGAAATCCTGTTTAAGAAGCGAGCCAGGCTGTACCGATGGGACCGCGACCTCAGCCAATGGAAGGAGCGCGGCACAGGCGACATCAAGATCCTCTTCCATCCGACCAAACATTTTTATCGAATCCTGATGAGAAGAGACCAGGTCATGAAGGTTTGTGCCAACCACACCATCTCGCAGTCCATGGAGATTAAACCCATGAACGCCTCTGATACCGCGCTGGTCTGGACCGCCACAGACTACTCAGGTACACAAGCAAGGTGGACGGATCTGAACTTATTTCTGCCCTGCTTGAAGAGTCAGAATAATGTTTATTTCCTCCCTAGATGGTGATGGAGTCGTGGAGCAGCTGGCAGCCAAGTTCAAAACTCCAGAGATCGCCGAATCCTTCAAGAAAACCTTCTGCGAATGTCAAAGCCACATGGGCCAAACCGGAGAGGACGGTTCAGGTGCCGTGTGTCAGATGTCCGGAGTCCAGGAACACTCTAAAGAGACGAACCCTCAGGTGTTCCTCACAGTCGCTGCTGATGGCCAGCCTCTGGGCACCATCACCATAGAGCTTTTCTCCAACGTTGTTCCCAAGACTGCAGAGAACTTCAGGGCTCTCTGCACCGGAGAGAAAGGCTTCGGGCTGCGGGACTCCATCTTCCACAGGGTCATACCAGATTTCATGTGTCAGGTAATGTGTGCGGTCGTTTGACTCCGCCACACAAGTTTAGATAGCGGGGCTACAAAGTTTTCAAGTTTCACTGCTCTAACGTTGTCGTGTTTCCTTTTTTTCCGTTCCAGGGTGGTGACATCACCAACAGCGACGGCACCGGTGGCAAATCCATCTACGGCAGCAAGTTTGAAGATGAAAACTTTGATGTTCGGCACACGGGCCCGGGCATCCTGTCTATGGCTAACCGTGGACGCGACACCAACAACTCGCAGTTCTTCATAACCCTGAAGAAAGCCGAACATTTGGACTTCAAACACGTGGCGTTCGGCTGGGTTCGAGGCGGTATGGATGTGTTGCAGCAGATGGGACAGCTGGGCACAAAGGGAGGCCCTCCAACAAAGAGGCTGGTCATCACGGACTGTGGTCAGCTGTAGCTTTTTAAATTTGGGTTTACAGATTAGTGTAGGTCAAATTAAAGGTAAAGATTTGAGGTGTTTCCTGTGCTGTACACATTTCTAAAATAAAACCTTTTAGTTCTACTCTGATTGTATGGCTGCAGGTCACGACCCCTCGTCAGTGAAACGTGTCCCCTGTAGCGTGGAATTGGAAACTGTTTTCCTTTCCTGTAATGTAGTTTCAAATGGGAAACTGTGATCACTGCAGGGAAGAATTATATTTTTGCATTCATCTTTATCTTCATTTTGTGTGTATATTTGTACAGGGACTTAATTGTTTTTGTTCTTTTGTCTCGCTTGTACTCACTTTGAATGTACTCGTCTTATCAGCCCCACTTTGTTTATTTTTCTAAAGAAGTTTTAAATATCATTTAAAGGCAACTCTATTCATTTGAACACACAAAATGCTTCATAACTACACCCCTGCCTTTTCTGTTTCTTTTTACTGTACGACTTCCATGTTTACTTTTCTTCCCCTACGTTGATTTAACAGTGCAGGTAACTGGACTTAATAATTTAATTTATTAAGTCATGGACTGAATTTTTCCAGTGTTTGATCTTAGAAAAGTGATACATTTGGTTTTACAAAGGGGATCCATTTTATGTATAAATTTGAGATTCATGCAATTGTGAAATTGGTACTTGTACCAAAATGTTAATTAAGAAATAAAGTTGCTTTACATTAAATCTCTTATTTTTTTAAATTTTGTTGGGGTTTATGTGCAACTATGAAAAAAACATTGAAAATAAAGGCAGGTCATAAATGAAATTAGAATAGAAAATGACACCATGAGAAGATATTCAACCTGTGGATTTATTTGTGAATGATTTTAATACATAAATTTCACATAGATGTTCTTTCATGTGCTTTTATACTATAAGATTGTAGCAAAATAGCATTTTTGGGATTTTTGACATATCTTTTAAATTTAAGACATCAGTTTTTCTTCATTTTTATTTCATATAAATGACACTGCATATAGTATACAATAACATTAATATAATGGATAACACAAAGCATAAAACGTATTTCCACTATGGTCCAGCATAATGGAAATTAGTTTAGTTGTGTTGGGATCAAAAGCATTGGCAAAAACCTGTAATCAAAATTAATTCATACAACTTCCGCTGCAGTACCATTTCTGGCCACAGCAGCAGAGAGCAGATACGGGCGACTCGGGATGACGTGAGCTGGACGTAAATGCGGCGTCTCGGGGCCTGTTCTGTCTTTTTTTCCTCTGTCGCGCTGTCGGGGCGGTTGGGCTGCTTTCTGTCTCGGGAAGATTTAACACCTAAGCAGCAAAATGATCATCTACAAGTGCATCATCAGCAGTAAGCGACCTGTATTTGGTGTTTTTTTATGTGTATGGGCAGACTTAAGTCGATAAGGTTATTTTGTTCATTGTTTTTAATGGCAGAATTAGCCGGAGTAGCATCAAGCTAACTCGTGTTTATCGTGGTTTTCGCTGATTCTGCCGATGGTTAGCCACATGCTAACGTGTTCTCGGGTTGCGTTTAGCTTCGGCCGCATTCAACTTCCTAAAAGTTACGTTAAAGCTTTGAAGAATCATGTGGAAAACCGTCTGCTGGGTTAATAAAACTGGGACTCTGTCACATGTTATTAGTTTTTGTGAAATTTCTGGCCTGTTAGCCGTATGTAGCTGTTAGCTACAGGGAACTTTTTCTCCCTTTTTAAAGTTTAAAATCTCTCGCAGCTCAGCTTTTTGTGTCTAGCCGCTACATTTAGAAAGACGTATTGAGCTAATAGCTTCCCTAGTAAACGTAGTTCACGTGATTTTTAAAAATATTTTAGTTGAGGCACACCCAGATTGATCKTTTTGTTTTATCTCCTGCAGATGATGAGATGTTCTCCGATACCTTCAAAGTCAAGGAGTCTGACAGTGGGATATTCTTCGAAGTTGAAGGCAAGGTAATAAACCCAGATTTTTAAATTTTGTAGGTGAATTGATCCCAGTAATTATATCTAATTAATAATATAGGTTTGTATGTTTAGCTTCTTATAAATTGGCTGTAAGATGCTTTCACTATGAATTGGCATATTTTTAAACAGCTGTCTTTAAAAGGTGACGTTAACGTCACTGAATCAGGGTGTGTTCAAGAGGCGTCATCAAACACCATGAATACTGAGATTGATTAAACCACATTTTTTGTCTCTAGCTRAAACTTTGCGGCTGTTTCAGAGGGATGGGTTTGAAATTATGTTCCACCTTAATTTTGTCACACAGAGAGGAGTCCTAAGTTTTGCGACTTTTTTTTTTTCTTAGTACATTTTCAACACATTAACAGTGTAAAATAACAATTATTCAAAATGTTAACCCATTTTGTTTTTCTGCTTCGTCACTTGTAGACGGTCACCAGGACAGAAGGGTTTGATGACGCTTTAATTTCAGCCAACGCCTCTGCCGAAGAAGCCATCGAGTCCAACGAGTCGGCCACAGTCTCCGGAGTGGACATCATCCTCAACCACAAACTGCAGGAGACTGGCTTCGACAAGAAGCAGTACATGGCATACATCAAAGAATACGTTAAAGCGTGAGGATTTTATGTTAATCAGTTGGAACGTGTTTGCGCTGCTTCATCCTGTACCATGAATTTTGCCGTCTTGATATATTGTGTACCTTTTTTACTTGTAACTTGGTTCTGACAATGACAGCTGCTGAAAAATGTCCCTCTGCCTGTCCAGTATCAAGGCCAAGCTGCAAGAAACCAACCCTGACAGAGTGGAGAGCTTCATGGCTGAAGTCCAACCAGAAGTTAAGAGGATCATTGGAAACATCAAGAACTACCAGGTACTTTGGGACAATTAAACCAATTAATAGTGTGGCTCAGTAATGTTAATGCAGTCGTTTTATTCAGGTAAAGGCTATTTACTAAGTACATTTTGCTAAATTGGTTTTTAGCCATTGTTGGGTTGATCAGGGGTACAAAACATATCCAACTTGTTAGACACATACATGACAATAATCAACACCTGGAATAAAAAAAATTTGAGTTTATTTTTATTTCTGTCAGAATATCCCAGTCCAACTCACAAAAAGGGTTAAATTATTGCTCTTCTTCCATCCACTAGGGGGCACTTGTGGCTTCAACTTCTCTTCCTCTAATTGTTGGTTTTCCTCCCCCTCTTCAGTTTTTCACAGGAGAGTCCATGAACCCCGAGGGTATGGTGGGTCTGCTGGACTACCGTGAGGATGGCATCACACCATACATGCTTTTCTTCAAAGACGGGCTGCTGGTGGAGAAATGTGTACGTATTCTGTGGATTTGAGGGTAAAACATTGATTTGACGTCGAGCTGAAAGTCTGTTTTTCTTTGTTACAGTAACAACCTGGATCAACTGTTAAATTGACTGCTGCTTCCCAAAACGTCCTCTAAAGCAGACTGAAGGAGACCTACTCTGCATCATGTCTGAACAGATTGTGTCCTGCCCACACTGTGGCCCCCTCGGTTTCACAGAACTGAGGAAAACCTGTCATTCGATCACTGAATAGTTTTTAACTTTGTTTTGATTTTTGCCTTTTGCAGTGTTTTTTTGGTTTTCCTTTTGGGCCAGTGTTCATAATGAAAACTAAAAGGGAGGACAGGAAGTGAACCTCCGGCTGCAAAGTATTTTTTGTCCGTCTCATACTGTTTTAGCAACACAATCCATACAGTTTGACATCTCCGGCCTTCTTCATGCTTGGGTTTATGGTTGCATTAAATGAATCCATCCACAATGCAAAGACTTCTGGTGAAATTTGAAAATAAAGTACCTCTACTTTGAGTTTCTTCTATTTGTATTTTTTCTAAAGGAGAAGCCTATTTTATTTTGGGCAACAAAGGCTAACTAATGTTCTTGGGTAACCAGCAGTTAGAAGTCTTAACTCTTGACTTGATAACCAAATTGAGGTTGTTGTTTTTTTTGGCATTTTCAATAAGAAAAAATGAGCTTTCAGATGCTTTTTGATTAGTTTGGACATTCAATTCTTCCACAGAATTTCTATAAGACTAATCATAAAATAGATGAAGTTGAGTAAAAGCATTAACTAGTAAAGAAAAAAATAAGTAGGTCCTCTGGATGGGTTCWTCTTTAGTGAAACGTTTCATCTCTCCTCCAAGGGACTTCTTCAGTTTCAGGTGTTTAACTAGTAGGTTTACACCAGAGGTCTCCAACGTTTTCTTAAGAACTATTTTCACTAAATACAATTGTCCGAAAGGTACTTTTTGCAACATTTTAAACTTAAACCATTGGAATAAGCTTGATTTGCACAAAAAAACATCTTCAATTCACATGAAAACACAAACAATTCACATAAACTGACAACCAAGGGGAAGGGATATCTATAGATTGTAATTAAAGTTTGGTTGGCCAATGACTAATTAAATTTTGCTTCTAATTTTTCATACTGAAGAGCTACTTTAAATGAGCTCACGAGCTGCCGSTTGGAGACCCCTGGTTTACACAGAAGTTTAACTGATCTGGAAGGACCTGCAAAGCTTGTTTTTTTAGTCATGATAGCTGAAGGAGAATAAGTTTCAGCTCATTAACTCAGGTGAAAGTAGATTTTCCTTTGTTAGCAAAATATCTTAACTGCTGGATGCATTTATGATAAAGGTGAACGTTCATAGCATTAATTCAAGATGAGCACCTTTAAAAACATTGGTGTTAAAGTCAGTTTTATATTAGTGTTGACAGATAACCTGGTCACTCTTCACACAATAATTGATCAGACTTATTGTGACTTCTCAGCTGCTAATCGTTTATTTAAAGTTAATTATCAGGATGAATCAAAGGGAACCCTGAACTTGATCTTCTAATCAGGTGGTTGCCATTTGACAGCTCCCAACACCCGCTGGCAGACATCACACGCCGCCGCTGGTTCCCGCCCCGCCACCACTTGATGTAAATATAGTTTGAGGCCGTTGCTGTGGTAACGCTGTCAGAGGGATGAACCGCGTTCCCGGCCTCTTGAATSCGTGTTTTCCCTCTGATTTACTGCCACCGTTAGGATTTCAACACCAAACAGAGGGAGGGGCTGTTTCTGGGAACCGCAGCTTCCCTGCAGCATGTGTGAAATCAGCTTTTTATTTTAAATTTTTTTTTTTTCCACAGCAGACGTTTTGATGTGTCGAGCACAGGTGTGACTAATTACGTGATTAATTCCAGCTCAGCTTGGCAGRAGCTGCTGGAACAAAGCTGCTGTTTGATTTGTCATCAGCTCCACTCCAGTGTTGTCTGCTTTTAGGGGAGAAAAAAATAAATAAAAATACTGTCTGGCAGAAAAGTGACCTCTGCAGGAAAATAAAAGACAGTATTGTTTTGTCACAGTTTCATAACAGATTTAATCCAACAAAGCTGACTTTACATKTGCCAGACGTTTCACAAACATCGAACAACTCAAAAATCCACTGTGATAAACATAAAATATTTAACAGAAAACTAAAAAATTAGGACAAAACTACAATGCCTTTTTTACACCTGATGAAGCGGAGAACCTCCTGGTTCTAGGCGTTCTGTGATTCCTCCTCTTCCTCAGCAGGATGGTAGTGTCGGTACTCCGGCTTCAGCTCCCAGCTGCTTTTGTGAGCTCCTTTGCGGTTGCAGACKCCAATTTCCCTCATGATGTCTTTGAGATACGACTGCACGGGACAGGAGGAAATCGGAGCTGATTACACAGTTATGGACTCAAATCTCTGTGATAGTGCCTGTGACATCAACAATTTTGTAATAATACAAATGCAAAAAGAAAAAAAATGTATAGGTCTTCTGGAC